GTGTCCAACACTGGTGATGCTTGGGGTGTCGACCACTTTAGCGCAGGGAGGTTTGCTCTCATGTCTGTGCGGTTTTCATTAGATGGAGCCTCTGAACGTTTCTGGTAGCACTGTATTCCACGATACTCCATACATTTATATGTATATATGCGTATTGTCTCTAATTATATTGTTAAACTTGGAGCTACTGTAAGCCTGTTGACTCAAAGCGATGAACCTTTGTTTGAGTGAAGCGCTGTTGTTCTCCTCAGGGTAGTATCAGCTACTGATGTACAGTGAAGGCTCAAGGCCTTGATGGTGCATGGCAGCAATCATGATGTATTGTGGATGCATGTATCTTAACACGCCTCCTCAGAATAATGTTGTAAACATTATCCTGCAATGTTCAAAAGGATGTAGTCGCTGTACAATTGATGCGCAACTGGCTGTACAACTTCTTTGTGGGTCGTGGTGTCAAAAGCCAATAGAAAACCACTGCTGTTTCAAGCAGATGTTGTATATCCAGCTGTTTCACCATGCCACTCATTTGCAAAAGAGGCAAAGATCAACCCCTGTTTGTCCACACTGGCTCCCTGCAGGGGGCAGGAGTTAACCTCTATCCTCTCTGCGGTGTCCGACATGCCGGAAGATGTTGGCGGATATGTACATGAGACGCAGTTCAGATAAAGTGCTCATAGGCTTAGCGGCTTAGCCTGGTCCAATCCACAGACTTGAGGGCACATGCTTGTCCCAGCGGCGAAGCTGCTCCCCCCAAAAGGGGGTTCATGGAAAAACAGTGGCCAGGTGTGAGGCCGCCGATTTGCGGATTCTTTTCATGGGAAGTCCTGAGTGCCTGGGGCGCTCCAAACTCGGGACCCTATGGTCCCTATGAGATTAAAACATTTCATGTTCTGATGTCCACCCGAAATGTACCGAAAGTTCAAGCCCACAGGTCTTTGTCCCTCCAAGTGCTAAACTCACGGGTTTTCCTTCAACTCACCAGCCTTCAACTGACGGAGGTCCAGAGCCAGAGCCTGAGGTGGCCACCAAGGCTTGGCTTACGTTGGGCGCAATTGGGGGCAGCAGGTTTGATTCGGCGGCTCTGCGACTGGTTTTGTTTGGGATAGTACAGAGAGGCCAAAAAGCAAATCAGGTCCGGTCTCGGGCGCTTCGGAGCGGGGGGGCCTTGCGGGTTTGGCCGCTGGAGTCATCAAGAAGAGCTGTGGGCCTTGCGGGTGGCCGGTTGTTTCTCTGTCAGAATCCGAGTTCGCCAGGATCGAACTCGCGGGTTGCGATCCGGATCGCGTCACCAGCTCTCTCTGGATGGGAAGCTCGCAAGATTAATCTCCTTCACGGGCAATGAAATGGGTGAAAAGTAGGGTAATCCCAACATGGGTTGCCCTAAATGGAAAAGTAGACTTTAAACCCTGCGGTCCAATTCCTGGTGGTGAAATCTTCACCCACTTAACTCCGAAGAGCAATTCGAGCCTTTGTTTAGCATCTTGGTTTCGGCCTGCCGAAGCTAAGACTCGAGTAAAGCGCTAGTGCTGAGAAACTGGTTGACACCTCTGACGGTGCTTTGGTTTCCTGTTTGTGAAAAGAAAAACACATTCCCTGGGTAAATATGGGACATTTTCGTCAGCGGGGCCCATGGGCCAGATGGCAGGAACGCATTCAGGGCCTTCGCAAAAAAGAACGGTGCCACGCGTCTGGCGGGAACTTTCTGCATGGTTCCCGGGTGACTCCTCGTGTCGGAGTCTGCCACCAGACTCGAGACCTTTATTTCCAAGGCCACGATCAAAAGCTACCCCTCCAAGCATTGAGCAGGTCCTACCCTTCCTCCCACCACGCCTAAGGGAGGGCACCTGAAGATCAGTTTCCTCTTGGAAGGACCCTGTCAGGTGCCATGTTGGGAGTTTCCTCTTGGAGGGAACCCCCTGGTGCCACGTTAGTGGGAGAGGGGGTAATCCAACAGGAACCTGTTGGTTCCAAAGTGGTTGCGCGCGATGTTCCGAAGCCCCGCAGGTGTTGCGCCTGCCAGCGCGGGAGGTCTACTGCCTGCTGGCCAACGTGGCCCTGTGGGAGGCTCAGTCGGGTGGACGCCGAGGGCCGAGGGTCTATGTTGCAACACAAGTACCCAGTTGCCCCAATTGGTTGCTTCCTTTTTTTCAACCTTTTTTTGGGGAAGGGTTCCCCTTTGCAGTCAACCAACCGACAAAGGATGCCGATTCTTTTTTTCCCATGGAATACACTGGGCATCTGAGATTAATACTCTTCGTAGAGCGCTTGCACAGGGCACTTGCGCAGCAAACAACATGCGCTGATTAATTTTTTCGCGGAACTTGAGCAGAGAAACTTGCGCGCAACTTTTGCAGCCACGACTCAACAATTACCAGCGTTGAAGCATTATCATATTGAAGGACGCACATAAACACGTTTACGGCCAAATTTTTGCATGGCAACTTTGGGGCAGCAGCTTGTGCGCAGAGCTTAGTGAACGGTCCAAGGAAGGCACGAGGTGCAGGGCGCAGTTGTGCAAGGCGCAAAGCGCACGGGGGCTCGGAGCCAGGTACACCGTGCAAGGCGCAAGGCGCGCAAGCTGCAAGACGCAAAGGTGCCCTGCTCAAGGTGCAAGGTACAAGGTGCGCGGTGCGCGAGGCGCAAGGTGCAAGGTCCGAGGTGCGAGGTGCGAGGTACAAGGAAGGCGCGAGGCGCAAGGTGCAAGACTGCCTTTTTGTGTTTGCGTGCACTTGAATGTCAGACAGCTGCGTTGCCCGCCCAAAAGATGTGTGCCAAAGAAATGTTTTCGGGCCACCCATTTTCTAGTTTTCTTTTTCATTTCTCGTTCTTTCTTTTTTGCTCTGCTCGTCCCCACTTCCCTTGCTCCTAGGCTCAACGTGAACGGCTTTGCGGACCTCCAAAAGCTCTACCTCTCCTCGGCCAAGGCATCTTGTGACCTTCTGGCTGAACGGGGCGCTGGGTTGAAGCTTCAAGGCTCATGCTGATGTCTTCCAAGGGGCCAGTGAAGCAGAGGAGCTGAACTACTGAGAGAGAGGGGTTGAGAAGATTCATATTGTGCCTAGCTTGCGTTTTGCGTGGGATTCTTCAGGCCGCGCCACAGAAGATCCTCTGTTTGCTGGCCTTCTTCCACCAGGAGAGGGATTGACAGGCTTATCGTGTACATGAAGGTCGGGGTTCCCTTGTTTCCCATTTGGGAGTTTATCTAGGTCCCCCCAATATTCCAACTTTTGCCGTTTCTTTTTTGGGGGGAGATTCGGTTCCCCTACTAAAATAGACTACCGAAAACCGTCTATAGTTCTATGGCCGGAGTCCACCCCAAGGCCCCAAGCCCGATCACTCTGTGGTTCCAGGACCTGAGCTCCAACCCAAAGATCCGCGAACCCAAGCCCAGAAAAGACTCCGGCCTTGAGACGAAGAAACCTCCGCAAGGAAGGAAGGCCAGAGCGCTTGTGAGTTGTGTGGTTGGCACTTGAAGCACTTGGACATGCCTATGAGTCTGGCGTCATGTTTGAGGTCTCTGAGCCAAAAGTCCCAAGAGTCCCGAGTAAGCATTGATTCGCACGGCAAGTGAACCTGAACCTTGGCATGTTTCCGAAAATGGAGCAGGCACAAGCCAAATTTGCTCTGCATTGGCACGGACGAGCCTTTGGGTTTAGCTGCCGATAGCGCATAAAAAGGCACATGCACACAACTTGGGGCCTTGGGGACACAGCGACATATTCCCCAAAGCGGTTGTTGAAGCTGACAGGCTGCCCGGTGTGTTTCAAAAGGTACATCGATTTCATGCCCATTTTGACGAAGAGGTGGCACGTTGGGCTCTCTGCTGCTGGAACCGCCTCTAATGGGCGGCAGCAAAGAACGAGCCTTTCTGTTTCTGACCATATTCCAGCTGTTTTGACTTGTGGCTGACAAAAGAGAGCAAACAGTGAGTTTAGATCCATTCCTTGATTTGTGCGTGCATATCATGTAGCCCAAGAAAGCACGCATGTTGGCCCCCCCCCCCCCGCCCTCCCAGGTTTTCTAGGGTCTCAACAGGACGAAATTTCTGCTCACTCGCCAGGCTCAGCGCGACTCCCGCGAGATCGTGTATGAGCGCCGGGCCTGCGAGGGTGGATCGATCCACCGATTTCTGCCGGATCCGGTGAGCGCGGGGCTGAGGGCAAAGCTGCGAGAGAAGTGGGTCTTTTGGCTCGGGGGGTGTCAACTCCACCTATTGAAGTCACAGAGTTCAGGTTAGCAATGGGCAATGACCCATTTCGGAATGAAAGTGCTTGCCCTGCAAGGCCTTTCTGTCAGTAGGGGCTTTCCTTGCCTGAAAAAAAATGGCACCCGAGTTTCAACTGTTGCAAGACCTCCCGGGAGCTCCCACGCGGCGTTTCGTTCTCGGTTCCCCGGGAAACAGGGGGTCGTGGGGCGGAAGCTTATTCCAGTGCGAGAAATCTCGTCCACAGAGAGGGGGTCGACACCGCGGTCCTTGGTTTCAGGGCCACTGATTTAGTTTGAGCTCCAACTCGGGTCCAACTCTGATCTTGCGACACGTTGGCTCGTGATTCCACCTCAACAAGTGGAGGTGTATTTGCAGTCTTTTCTCACGTACACGCAATGGGTGTAGCCCCACGAACCACAGCAAATCAATGAATCAACACACCTTGAACAATGCGAAGCAATCCGAGCCATGGACTGCAGAGTCTTCTGTGCCTTTGGTGTTTTTCCACTGGTGCGGCTGTTGATTGCCTGCCAGATGCCATTCCTCAGAGCCAGCGTGCGCCAATGATCACCGAAAGTGGGACTACCCCTCTAAAAATCTGGGACATTGGAACCGAGTCCACCAATCAGGTTTCAGAATGGATCATCAAGATTATGGTGGAGGAGATGTTCGGCATTCTTGCGGAGGTGCATATTGAGCCGCGTCCTTTCAGAAACCGCCACAACCGCACCTTCTTAGCGCTTGCTGGCTGCAGCGAGAACCTGACCGAGCTTGCGCCCGAGAGTCTCTCCCAATGTGGCAGGCATCCGAATCAGCTCCATGTCTCTCTTGGCGCGCATCTCGTGGAAGGCCGGTTGGATGAACTCAATTTCTACAATGAAATTCAAGCCAGTCAGCTGGGGGGTTTCATTGAGAACTTGGGGGATCTTGGCTTCATGAGGATGGGAGGCCCGCGGATAACTCAAAGAGTCTTCACGCAGGCTTGGGAGGAAGACGCAATCTCCCTGGACTTTTATCGTACCTATTACTATGCAAACCAGTCCTTTTACGTCCCCAAGAAATTCTTTGCGAGCATCTACGAGCTCAAGAACGAGGAGCTGCTTGAATGCAGTGAGTGGGAAGGTCTTTGGGTTGGTACTTCAATTCGAATCTCCAACTGGGTTGAGAAGTACATCGGCATCTCCGGTGACATGGATGGCATTGCTCAGGGTGAACAAATGCAGTTTCCCAGATGCTCTGAGGGCTATTGGTGGCTGGCGCCCGCCTGCCGTGGCAGCCCGCAGATGTGCATCCCGGTGCTGATTGAAAACCGTAGGGGCAATGTGTTCCTGGAGTACATGCAGAAGGCCGCTGCCTGGCGCTTGCCCTGGGCCATCAGCTTTGCAAGCAACACTCAGTTTCGCACACGGTTGAATGAGACGCCCGTGATTTGGAACCACCAGACTCCGGCAGCTGACTACTTGAACTTGAAGCCGGTCCTAGTGCAATTTCCCTCGTTCAGCAAAGAGGTGTACGAGCAAGGCCTCAGGATCAACGAAGAGCCAGCATGGCCATATAGCAAGCTGGTCGCACGGGACCTGGAACGCTGGCTTCCTGATGTTCGGGAAATGCTGCAAAAGTCTTGGTGGACGGTGGACGAGGCTGAGAAATTCCAGCTGGAGTCCGTTGAGACCTCTGAGGGCTTTTACCCCGATGCTGAGGAGGTGGCCTGCAGTTGGCTGCGCAACACCCGGGACAGGTGGCGCCACTGGATTCCCTCCAAGTCCACCTGCTTTGCCGGCCAGGGGCTGTTCGACCTGTCCACCAAGACCTTCCAAAGCAACCGCTCGGAAGACTCGGTCTGTCGTACCTGCTTGCCAGGCACGCACTCTTTTGGCATCTGGGATGAGCTTGGCAGCACCGCAGAGTGCCGGCCCTGCTCGCCGGGGCTCAGCCAACCCTCTGTGGGCAGCCGCGAGTGCACGCAGTGTCCGCCAGGGACCTTCTCTGCCAACCTTGGCGCCGTTGTGTGCGAGGTGTGCCCGCAGGGTGCATTTCAAGACGGGTTCGGCCAGTCCTCATGTGTCCAGTGTGCGGAGGGGACCACCACTCTGATCCGCGGCGCCACACGCAGTGAGGATTGCGAGTGCTCTCCGGGTTTGTACCTGCACAATATCACGACGTGCCGAATATGCCCCAAGGGGCTGGAGTGCGCTGGTGGCTACACTTCGCCCAAGCAGCTGGCAGGTATGTACGCTGAGCTTCACGACGGCGGCTTTTCGGTGTTCCTTTGTAAGGACCAGCAGCACTGTCCCAAAGGGCCACCAGGGACCTGCGCGCCTGGCCGCGTTCGGCGGGGGTGCGGCAGTTGCAGCGCGGGAAGACAGGCGAGCGCTGATGGAAGCTGCGCGGAGTGCGAGCCTTGGGCGGTTGGGACCTGGCTTCTGCTGCTGGCCATGATGGGAGCCGGTCTGAAGGCCACCAAGTGGAGTCTTGGCTGCATTTTGCCAAGGGCCGTTAGGACTTCAACTTTTTGAATGGGTTTTCCATTGAACCACGAAAAGCTAAAACTTTTGGTAGGGGAGCAGAACGCAACCGAGGATTGGCAAGACAATCCGGAGAGCCGCGCTCACGGTGGCCGTGCTGGGCGTCATCTTCGGCCAGGTGGTGGTTTGCATGCAGTCCGTGGAGGCCATCGCCCAATTCTCCTTGAACCTGACAGAACCCGCAAAGACGCTCTTGGAGATTCTCTCAGTCTTCTCCCTGAACCTCGAACGGTTCCACCTTTCCTGCTTTTTCAGCACGGAATCTGCAGTTATGGAGTACAGCGTCCAGCTGCTCATCTACCCAGTCTTCTTTGTGGCGACGATTCTCTTTTGGCCTCTTTTCAGATGGATTTTCCGGATGCCGATGCCTTCCTTCAACGAGTACTTCGCCCTCCATGGCATGCTCCTGGTGGCGTTGCTGACTTCCTTGACGCTGATCGTCCTCCAGCCGCTCCAGTGTCGCGGGAATCCCAACGGCTTGAACACCGTGCGGGCGCGGCCAGATGTGACCTGCTGGACTAGCGAGGAGCATACTGTCATGGTGGCCATGTCAGTTGCCGGAGTGCTGGTTTACCCTTCTGCCACTCTTGCCGCCGTAGCCTTTTGTACATGGCAGTACCCCATTTGGTTGAAGTCTCAAGCGGGTTTGCAACACTTCGATGCTTGGTCCTTCTTGTTTGGTCGCTTTCTTCCGCAGAGATTCTACTTTGGACTTCTCTTGTGCATCGTCAACCTCGTCACCGCCTTGATTCCTATCATGATGGTTTCTGCTCCGGCCCTACAGGTCGGCATGATGGCTGTGGTGCTCTGGTTCAGGCAGGGGGTCTCCTTTGTAAATTTGGTGGGGAGGTCTCAAAAAACCGAGGGCTTCTAATGACTTTTTGGACGTTCAAGGTGTATTATGCATCTATGGAAGACATGTTTGAGCGTCTACCCCTGCCATTTGATATGTGTTTAGAGTTTTGAAGGGCGGGCTCGCGTGCAGTGGTGCAGTGCACCGCCACTCTTCTTGGGCAAAGATCCGGTTCTTGTTGCATCACTGAATAGTTCCATAAACATCCAGAAACTTGGGCTGTTTTATCAAGCGGCTTTTTTGACCCGGAAGCCACCTCAAACAAGACAGAAGAGTCACTTGCCGAATTGCTCATTCTTCGGAAACAAATGGGGGGGGTGGGACAGTACCACGCGGCATAGACACGCAGAGACTACTTCGCAAGGCTCAAACCCCTAAAATCCCAACACCCTGAAACAGGAGGTTGCAAAATAGGCCCTAAGTGTCCACCATACAGATTCCACTTAGATGAGAAAGGCCGAAATGCACAACACCTTGCCAGCATTTCTCTACCTTCCCAGCATCACCATCCACACCCTCAGCATCTCTTTTCTTTGCTCTTTTACTTTTGTGTCAAACACTCAAAAGGACACCTCAAAGGGACACCACACCCTCAGCAGCATTTTCGACAAAAGGGAGTCGCCGGAAAACGGGGCTCCAGATAGGTCCCAGGCTGTCAAAAAGCCTGGAGGCGAAAGCTAAGTCGCGCGTGTTTTCCCCCGGCTTTTCTGCAATTTGTCATTAAAAAGGCCCATGCTTGGCAGTGAAGGGGAGAAAATTAGGACAGCATTGTATGCAGAAATGGTCAAGCACCCCATGTTTGTTGCATAGCTGCAGCTCAGTTTCTCCAAGCTCCGAATCCACAAGCGGCCTCACGGCAGAAGCCGGAATCGGAATCTGAAGCTGTTGCCTAACTGCCTCCAAACGAAGCTATGCGTGAGCAGAAACTCGAGTGAAGCTGAGTTGGTAAATTTTGACCTTGCAATGATCGCCACCATTTGTCCATACATTGAGTCATGAAGCAAGCGGGTCGTTTGCGTGCTCCCCTCGTGAAGTAGGCTCTTCTAGCACATTCATGTTTGGGATGGACATGGTGGCTCTCCAGACACTTTTTGCCAGCATCAACCAACATTGGCCATGCATCAACCTGTGTGCAGTGACGTGTGTCTTCGTGTGCGTGCCGCTTACCCCCCCCTCCCACCTCCCCTCCCCCAGCCCCCCCCCCCCCCCTGCTTGCTTACAACTGCAACTCAACACATCACAGCCTGAAACAACAAACAGCAAGAGAAGCGCCAAAAGTACAGACTTTTTACTAGCCTGTTTCCTCCAAATAGCTTGCCACCCCCGAGAAGCGCATAAAACACCCTTCCTTCGCAGCTTTGAGCTGTGTCTAAGGGCCATTTAGAAGGCAAACGGATTGGGTGTGTTTCAAAGGGAAGCCAATCGGAAACCGTTTTTTTTGCAGGTCCCAAACATTGGGAGAGAGACCCAAGAGCATTGAAGGAGGTTGATGCACTTAAATTGTCCATGAGGGGGGTGATGTCCAGACCCGGACATATATATATATATATATATATTTATTTATCCCCTCAGAATGTATTCAAAGTGGGTTTGCCTAGCAATTTGCCCCGCCCATATGTATTCGGCGGCCCTGCAAACTACGCCCGCTCAGGCAGGCCTCGCAGTGCCTTCTCTGGCCTTGGCGCTACAAGTTGGCCAACTACAACGACCTCGCCCTATCGGCTGGCACGCTTTTGCTGCTGAACTTAGTTTGTCCCTTGCTCATCATCGACGATCAAGATGCAACTCGCCTGCTGTCCATCCTCATTTCCGTGAGCTTCGTAGCTTTGCCCTCGTGCACCTGCTTTGCGGGCATGTGCTCCCTCTCTGCGATGCACACGGCGGAGCAGTTCGACATGTTCCTTTGCCATCACAAGTCCGGCACCGGCGCGTTCTGCCGGCTTATGGCGCTCACCTTGAGCAGCCACACCAACTGCAAGGTCTTCCTGGATTCGGACTGCTTGGAGGACGTGACCACCATCTTCGACACCATCCGTTTTCGCTGCAGGGCGCTGGTGGCGGTGCTTTCCCCCGACACCCTGCTGCGAGTGTGGTGTGTGGCGGAGATGACCACGGCCTACAGGAGCAATATCCCAGTGCTGCCCCTCTACTGCGATGACTTTGCCTTTCCCTGCGAGGATGGCCTGAACCATCTCGAGTCCAGCTGGACCGAGGGGCAGCTGGAGAGCCTGAACAGCCACGGGCTGAGAATGGAGTATGTGAAGGAAGCTTGACTGCTGTTGGGCTGGATCTTTAGACTTCAACTTTTTGGAAACAATGGTGTTTTCCACCAAACCCACAAACAGTGAGCAACTTTTTGCAGGGGGGTCGTTGCAGCAACCAAGGAAGCGCTGCGACACATCAGCTCCTATGCGCATTACACTGTGAATCGGAAGGACACCCTGACCAACCAGCAGGCGATGATTCTGAAGCTGGCCGAGCCCTTGAATCTCAAGTGGATCAAAGCTCGTGATCTTACGAGCATCGCGTCGAGGTTTTCGGGCTCCTTCTCATCCAAGCTCTTCACGGATGCTTCAGATGCCAGGATCTTGATTTGCAGCTGCCAAGACCCAGAAGTGATCTCCGCCAGCTTGGTTCTGCAGATGCTTGTGCAGGCCCAGCTGCAGCAACTGGTGCACTTCGTGCGCTTCAGCTCGGAGCTCCGGCAGGCCAAGGTGTCCTGCCCCGTGCTGGTGATCTTGAGCAAAGCCGCCTTTCTGGACGCCGCCTTTGCGGACTGCATCGTGTTGCTCTTCGAGCTGCAGTTCCGGATGCTGCTGATCCTTTGGTGCATTTTGCCAAGGGATGTTAGAACTTCACCTTTTGGCCAAGGAATGGGTTTGCCGTTAAACCACGAAAAGTTAAAAACAACTTTTAGCAGGGGAGCAGAAATTCAGAGAGCAAGCGAGGATCAATGATAGCACCTTCCAGTTCCCGTCGAACGAGGAGCTCACGCGCATTGGCAGCCTCCAAGGAGCGCAGGCGCTGGCAGCATTTCGGGACTTGCTGAAGATCATTGCACTCGCTTTGACACCCACCACCAGGATGCGGGTTGTTTGCTCTTGCAATAGGTGATAAGTGACCAACCTCATCGAAGGGCACTTCCCTTTTCAGCCCGCTTTTAAAGTGACCTTTGATTCTAGAAGGGGGCTACAAAAAGCGTCCTGCCAGGATGGACATCGTCCACAAGCAAGTGAGCCTGATTTGCCACCGTTTGGGGGACATCGAGGATCGTACGCCCCTTTCTCCGAGTGTTACTCCGGGCAGCCTTGCCAACGACTTGGACAGTGAGGTTGAGCCTGAATTCGAAGAGCTTGCTGGGAAGCCGAATGTAGAGACAGGCTATGTGCACGAGTGTTTCTAA